TATGCTACGTCTCAGTTTCACTGTTACCTTTATATAGCATTTTATTGTACAATCTTGTGTATGAAGGCCGTGAGGTGATCTATAGTTGCTTAAATCCGTTTAAAGTGGACTCTGTTGGATAGTTGTCTCATTGGTAATCATACCACATTTCCTTATTTTATATTTAACTATATATTCTGCAGAATTGTGAGTGTTCAATAAATGTTCAAATTTTATATAAGACCCTTTTTGATTATTAGAATGCAATATCCGGCCTTAAAATAACAAACACAACTTGTTGACGACGAAAGGAACACTTTAAAAAGAGATTGTTTAAGTTGAAATATAAAGATAGAAAACAAACATTACTATCGTTTTCAGCAATATTCTACAACAAAAAGTCCATCTTTAATTTAAAATGTGTAGCTATCTGATATATAGCCTATTCTGCATGATGATTATCATTTTGAGAAAACGTTTTGAAATGTATTACAAAGTAGACGGTATGGCTAGAAAAGAGTCATTATTTGGCATTTGAAATTGAAAACATGTATAGTTCTACAACTTGTTCAAAATTATGTCGGTTCTACTGATTAAAAATACGGTTATATAATCTGAACATTTCAGCGCTATGACCCCAGGAACATGCTAAAATTAACGTATAAAATTAGTTATGTTCCAAGGCTTTACCCAAATTTATATTGTTTATCCGCGTTAACATATATCAATGTGATATCTTGCAACAACATATTTTTGGGAATAAAACCTTGGTCTATATCTAAGATTCATGAATATATCTCAAAACGCAGATTTTGTAATTTGCAGTCCTAAAGCAAATGTCTAAGATACAATTCAAAAATATAAACACTGAAATTTGACAGACTAATGTCTTATAAATATATAGAGTATGTAACTTAAGATATTTATAGTCCTTTTTGATTTTCGCATTTAGGCTATAAAAAATTGGTATGATTTCACCCTTCCCTTTACAAAATTCCCGCGTTTTGAAATTAATTGTTCATGTATTCTGCAGACAAAAAAAAGTCTGTTACATCTTTTAAACTTCATACAATGTCTGAATGGCTTATTCTTTCAAATGATATGGAATGTTTACAAAAACGATTCTTTCAAACAATATACCAAGATATGTATACTCCTTAACAATTTTAATATCATTTTTAACGTTAGATTTAGAATTGCTATGTATCGTTCTACTGGAAAATATTAGAATATATCTTTAAAACTCATGTTTGTTTTCATATGTCCGTCAAAGTTATTTAAGAAATTGCAAATTTTCATGATCTGAGGACACAGATGTTTAATCTGCATAAAGAAGTTTAAAGATTGTTTTCTGAAGAAAGCAAAAGTCAAATAAATAATTTATATCTAATCACATCGTGTGATCTGATTGAGAAAACAGTAGTTTACCTATGTTCTAATCTAAATAAATCGATTACGAAGACAAATCAAAGTAACAAATCGCATGAATCCAAATGGAGCGAGACCGTGTACGTCGTTATGGTAAGCGTTTACGACTATGCATGCATCACCCGCATTGCATATCCACACTCAGTCTAAATGTCACAATCGGGAATAGAAAAAACAATCTGTAAAACTAAAAAAAATACTGTATATCTATTCTGGTGTCTAACGATCTACGACTGCGAAAACCTGTCGATAGCGAGTTAAGAAACAGACATACCTAAAACGTATTTTAAACTATTAAAATATTGTTATGATGAATCTAAACATTTCATGATTTGGAGGATTGGAGTAGTTAATTTATGAATGATTAATATTCCCAAGGATTTTTATTAATAATGTTGTCTGGTTATTGTATTAAAAATAACAGTTCTGATCTATGTAAAAGATACTACCACAAAACTTATCCCCTGTAGTTTTAGAAACATCATTAATGGTAGCCTAAATTTTTGCTCTTTAAGAGATAAAGAAAGACCTGCAAGTAATATAAATGTTTACTCTTATGCAGGCATCTGCTTATAGTTTTCCCTACACAATCGACATTGCCGACAATTACAAAAATTTTAACTGTTGTTGACAATAGCTAACATTATACAGTTAATGTAAAACTGACAGAGAAAATGAATTTGGAAAATAGAAACTTACTTGATTCTTATTTGTTCAGCTCCGATAAGATGACACAGTGTGGTGCTGAATGGTTGATTCTTAAAGCCTTATATATTGTTCGTTCGGTAAAAAAATCAAAACTTATGAGACATGTTTTGATAAACAAACGAAGATAAATAATGGATTTTTAAACCACAGATTGATAAATGAGGCTTTTGTTTGTGACAATATACAATGGATCAAAACTGATAAGGCAATTTGTTTTTTCTAGGAAAAACAGTATGCTTTTTGCCAAACGATAAATGCTTGAAAGTCAAAGACTGATGGATATTGTAGTTTTGTAAATTTTGTTGTAAACAAATCGGCTAAAAACCAACATTTTATGCTAATAATGCGTCTTTTCAAATTCCCCAGAAGCATTTCTTTGTACTTTTTGTAACATTAAATAAAATTGAATTAATAAAAATAAACAGAATGAATCAACTAAATATAAACAGGTATGGCATAATATGATTTATTACTAATTGCCTGCTTTGAACAAGCTTTCATTAAATGGAGTACTCTTGTATTATGAATCTTTTGTCTTTATTTAGTTGTTACTTATGTTTCGTGGCAATCAAATGAGTCAAGCCATTTCCAACTGATTTTATAGTTCCTTTGTTTTGTTGTTACACAACTGTTCGAGAATAAGGGGTTGTTTGAGCACTCACAAACATGTTTAACCCTTCCACATTCTGCTTGTGGCTGGCCAGTGTCAGGCGGCTTTAATTTTAGTGGCTGGTGATGGTTCATATCTGTCATATTTGTTTTTCCTTTATTGGTTTTCCCAAGTCAGGAGCCTGTAATACAGTGGTTTTTGTTGGTTAATGTCTCTCATATTTGTTTTTCCTAATGTGTATTGTTATTAATTAGGCCGTTAGTATTTTCTTTTGAATTGATTCACGTTTTACATTTCGTGAATTTTAAAACTGACTATGTGTAAACGTGAAAAATCTGATAAAAAATCTCTAGACAGTTATTTGAATAAAATTAAGAAACTGTTGATATTCGTATATCTCATTTTGAAAACAATTCTGAAATTAGTAATAGGGTCCATGATATTCCCATTTCTAGAATAAAAAATAGACTCCAAGTACTCGCAAAGCGGTTTGTGTTCGTACCGACAGACAAAGCAGCCAATAATGTAGTGGTGGTGTGACGCATATACTACACGGAAGTTCTCCAAAACGAAATTATCGATTCTTCTACATTCAGGTCCGTACGCTCTTCAGAGAGTCAAATTGTAAACAAGCATATCACTGCCACTTCCCAGCTTAAAGCCTCTTCCGAACATTTGAAAGTCCCTACTATGTACTGGTTACCTAAATTGCACAAAAAACATTTAAATTCCGTTTCATCTCCGCATCTAGTAAGTGTTCTACTACTAATCTATCAGTGCTTCTAACTACCTCCTTTAATACTATCAAACTTGTTATTAACTTTTGTAATAAAGCTTATGAAAATAATGGTTTTAGATAAAATACATGCTTTTGATGGTCCTTTTAATTCTGTTGACAGTTATGATTTTTCTACTCTCTACACTACACTTCCACACAATCTTATCAAGAAAAAGTTTTCAGATTCAATTAATTTAATTTGCTGTAACTCGTTTAAAGCCTTTTTCTGTAACAAAAAAGGAAAGTATGCTAGATACACTTACTGGAAATGTGAAGATATGATTGAAACTTTAAATTTTCCCCTGGACAACATATATGTACGTTTCGGCGATAAAGTGTATCGACAAATAGTAGGTATTCCTAACTGCGCCCCTTTAATAGCAGATTTATTCCTGTATTGCTATGAATCTCAGTTTATGACCAAACTCAGTAAAGACACTTCATTGTTACAATTGGTTGATACATTCAACAATACCTACCGTTATCGTGATGATATTTTTTCGTTAAATAATCCAGAGTTCTCTAAATTTACTACCGAAATTTACCAAAAGGAACTTATTTGAACTAAATCTAACACAAACAACAGTAGTTGTCTTTTTCTATATTTAAACATTTCAATCTCTAAAGGGAAACTCCATACTAAAATTTACGACAAAAGAGACGATTTTTTATTCCCTATTGTTAATTTTCCTTTATTAGACGGCGATGTTCCTTTGGCACCATCATACGGTGTTTATATATCCCAACTCGTTCGTTATGCCCGTGTGTGTAGTGATGTCATAGATTTTAACGAACGTAACCAATGCATCACTGGTATATTATTAAGTCAGGGATTTCGTTACCATAAATTTACTTTTACTAAATTCTTTCATAGATACAAAGATTTGATTAGTAAAATTGGCTGTACCTGTAGAAAACTTATTAAAAACGGTATTTCACACCCTAAAGTTTACGGTAATATTGTACTAAAAGCGCGGAAATCACTTTGTGATCCGTGTAAACTCATCGAACCTTTAAACAAACTTATTAGTAAAGGTTATCTTACCAATGTTGTAATTAGATCTTTGAATATAGTTTACATTGGCCCAAATTACGATTTTGTCATCAGCAAATTAAAACATAACTCAATTTGTATTCTTTTCATACGGGATGTATAAAGACACATCCAAGTTCATTTTTTTTCTATAAACTCCTAAATACTACTGCCTGTCGATACATTTATTTTTGGCATTGCACAAGTTATGTCTTCTTTGACTGTTCATGACGGTAAAATACTAAATCCCTGGGATGTGTTTTAGTTGATTTTAGTCGCTGATGCATGATTTTTTATTATTTATTGTTTTGGCTTTTAACTAGCTGTCAGTAACTGCGAGTATTCTTAAATCGTACTTTCTTGTTTATTTGACCTGTTGATACTATTTGTAATGTTTTTTTGTTATTTAATGTTTACTTATTCAGGGTTATATCTCGTCTATATACCAGCTTTGATAATAACTCGAATAATTACAGCGCCCCCTTACGGTCATTGTCCTCCAGAGGGCTTGAAGTCAAAGTGATCATTGGACGCGTCAGTCCAATACAAATTGTATTGACCAATCGCGGAGAACGAACTTAAGATTATGCGCAGTTGCGATTTCCGGCAATCTCACGTTTGTTTACAAACATGGAGATCGATAGCTATCTAAGTGAAATAGAGGATAAATATATGTTTGAATTCAAAGATAAACAAAGAGAGTCTATTGAAAATATACTACAGATGAACGATACAGTTGTTATTCTGCCAACAGGCTATGGTAAATAACGAATTTACTTCCATTTACCGGAGCTATTTGAAAAACTGTCAGGTGAAAAATCAACAGTGCTAGTTATCTCACCACTTCAAGCTTTAATGAAGGATCAGATATCTAAATTAGAACAATTAAACATAAGTGCAACTGTAGTAGGTGAATGTCAACCTGATAAAGGCGTTGTTGAGAACATTTCTGCAGGGAAATATTCCATAGTCTTTTCCTCGCCGGAGGCAGCCCTTACACCAGGATTGTGGCGCACTAGTTTGACCAAAGGACAATTTCATAGTCATATCAAAGCAGTTGTAATAGATGAAGCCCATTGCATCACACAGTGGTAAGATATTATTTTTTATAACATTGATACTGTCTTTTATGACAATGAGGAGATGTTCCCTGATGATGTGCAGTGGTATGATTGCCAAATGTTTAAAAAAAAAATGCCAATGTATGAAGTATCCACTATACTCTATAGTTCAAATGGTGTGAATGTAAGCCATAATGGTCTGTCTTATGGCTTTCAACAATGAGAAAAAAAAATATGATATTGTCGGCTATTAAAGAAAAATGTCTTACAGCCTAGATTATACATTTGTAACAATGAAACCTATAAAAAAAAAAAACAATATAACAGACATGAACCATCAACAGCTACTGAAATGCTGGGTCCATTTATTTTATATGGTATGTACTGCTATTAACAGATTAAGTAAAAAAAAACAATTGCATTGTTTATATTTCTTTTGCCATTATTCACTGAATTCAAGTAGTTATATAGCCTTTTTGTGCTAATGCTGTGTTAACCACTAACAATAAATCAATCATTATTGACTAAACTGTTCATGCTTATATAGAATCTATTATTATTTTTTCTTTGGCAGGGGTGGAGAATTTAGAAGACACTATGACAGGCTTGCAAAATTACGATCAGTTGTGCCAGAAAAAACTCCTTTTGTTGCCCTTACAGCTACTTCAACAAAATCCATGCATTCAGAAATTTTGAAAAAATTGCAGATGAATCCAAACCAGACTAAGACTATTTCTAAATTACCGGAACGCACCAACATAACTTATTCTTTGAAAAAGTCGAGCAAAAGTGTCCATGAATTAGAGTGGCTGTTAAAAGACTTGAAAACTAACTCTGTAAAAACAAAGAAGACTGTCATATACTGTAGGAGTATTCTTTCATGCGCAGATTTGTTTGAGTACTTTGTAAGTGGTATTGAACACAATAGAGATATTTTGGACAATAGACTTGTAGCAATGTATCATAGGTCTACAGCAGAAACAAATAAGAATCATGTGTTGAATGAGTTCCCAAATGAAGATAGTTCCATTCGAATTGTGTTTGCAACAGTTGCATTTGGCATGGGAGTTGATATACCTGACATTGAAAGAGTAATTCATTGGGGAGCACCTCGAGGACTTGAACAATTTTCACAAGAAAGTGGTCGAGCAGGCAGGAATGGCAAGCCTTCACAATCTTGTATATATTTCTCAAGCTTTGATACCGCTAAAGGACGTTGTAATGAAGGGGTGAGAAATTTGTGCCAAACAAAGGAATGTATTAGACTTGAATTAAACAGATATTTTGTGCTAGACAATGATGAGCTTCTTGAACAAGGTGACCATGTGAACAGCACAAAACCTTCGTGTCAGTGTTGCAGTAATTGCCGGTTAAATTGCACTTGTGGTTGTTGTGTAAACTTTGAATTCTTTAATATACACATATCAGCTGAAAACAATTTTGAATCAGATCCAATTGCCAGACAATTCGATAACCAGAAATTAAAAATTATGAAGGACAATTTCATTGACTTTAATGATTACTTATGTGAAGAAGGCCGCAACCGTCAGTTGTCGTTTGACAGCAAATTCATTGACTGTTTAGTAGAGAATGTTTCTTTCATATTCTGTGAAGATGATATCATTTCACTTGGACTTTTAGACCATGACCTTGCATCAGAAATTCTAGAATTGATTGAGGAAGTTGATATGGAGTTTTGATAAATTTTAAATTGTGCATTATTATGATTTTTTTAACATGTTTAAGTACATGTAGTGTACTTGTATATTTTGTATTAAATTTTTGACAACATGCTGTATCTTCCTTTTTAAAGAGATTTTTAATCAAAATACTAAAATTAGATAACAATGTATGTCGTATATCATTGACCTTGCCAATGAGCATACATGAATGATCTAATATGTAATTAGTATCTAAAAGCCACTGTATGACCTTTAACAATGAGGAATTCCATAACTTCAGTAGATGTGTCGTCAGTTACACTATAAAACCCAATGTGACAAAATGCAGAACAAACCAATCCACTAATCTAATACATCTCAGACAAAAACTACCAAAGAAATCTCTCTACCCTTTATATTTGACATATGCATTGAAACAGTCTAATCAGTTGACCAAAAAATAAGGAGATGTGATATGATTGCCAATGAGAACGTATCCAACCAAGTTCAAATGAAGTGGATATTAATGTTTGTTCTTACAAGGGACTGTAACACCACTGTCCAAGGTTACAGTGAGAGTTGGGATCCAGCAAAGTAATTTTTGGTTCTATATAGCTTACTTTGATGTGTGAGTCAAGGTTCCATGTTGAAGGCCATATTGTGACCGATAAATACTCAAAGTTCATGTATTTACTACTATAAGATTTGGATGAAAAGTTGTCTCATTGGCAATCATACCACATCTTCTTATGTTTAAATTGTCATTAAGTGTCACTGTTAACTTACTACTTGTTGACAAAACTCTAAATAACCCTGATAACATGCCTCAGTTATCAGTATCCAACTACATCATGTACATAACTTTAGTACAAGAACAAAAAATTGGTGTTGAAAGACATTTTATTAACACAATCAACTTCATTTTAAAATAGCATCAAATATATACAATCATATGAAAATTATACATAGAATGATACAAATAAACATGCCGACTGAGAAACCAGCAGTAAAAGTATAGGTATCACTTTAAAAAAATCAGATAGGTTCTTCAAATAGAAAAATACATGCATTCAATGCAAAGGTAAAAAAAATAATTTAATAGAGGGCAGAATGGATAGAAAATTTAAAAAAAAATTCTGTGGTTCATGATCAACAAATTAAAATCCAAACCAAAACACTGGAATTACATATAATGATAAATATTCATTGGTTGATTTTTTAAAGACCTGTATGCACGATTATTGAATCATATATATACTGCTTAGCTTGGTCAGCACTAATCTATTTAATTGTAAAATGGAACAATACATCTTGGAAGATTCATATACATCATAAAGCACTATTCCTTTAATTTCGACACTGAATTCTGTTTCATTAGATAAAATATTATATTATTCCAAAAGTATCTCTTGTTGAAAATATTTCTATACTGGCACTAAATAAAGATGTATGGTCACAATTGGTCAAAACATGAATATTTACAGCACTAAACAACACAACAATCACAATTAATTAAAAAATAACAACTGATTGAATTTGAATATTTACGATAACAACCTACTTGTATTGATTTAACCAGAGACCGCATAATTTTTCCATCACAATCAGTCAAAAAGACAAAAATATTTACAGCACTATTTATTTACAATGATCACAGTTAATTATAAAACAAAAACAACTGAGTATTTGGGATCACAAATTACCAAGCACATCATGTCTTGATTTAACCAAAGGCAGCAAAATTCCAACAAAGCAATAATATATCACACTTCAAGAGACTGTGAACAATTGCATATAAGACTAGTAAAACAAATCTTCATTGCATACAAAATGAATATTATATACATGATCACATTAAAAAAAATTAGACAAGGTAACACACTATTTGAATACAAACTGTAACTCATTAAAAAAAAACATGTAAAAAGGATAACAAACAAAATTGCACTATGACTTCAAAATATTGCACTGAACTTTCATGATCACAATTTGTTACTTCAGGCGTACACATATTCTAAGCAAATTTCTACAGTTCAAAACATTTGATACGAACGGCTGCGCTGGTATTTCGCAAATGTTTCTTTTTTTGATGTTATCCATTGGCTCAGTTTTTGTCCATTTACTTTACTTGTATCATCATTAACAATGTTTTGAAAGGAATGGTGACATCGTCCTGGAATTTTATCAAATAACTTCTCTTTTGATAGCTCTTCAACTAAAGAGTTAATGTCCTTTTGAATTGATGGCTTAGAGTTTGAAGGTCGACCGAAAAATTGCTGTAAACCTTCCGTGTAACTGTCAATTAGGTCATTGCATCCCTGCAAACTTCTACCACATCTTTGTATCGAAGATGACGACAAATTTCCACTTAAAGAATTCAAGGAATCTTTGGCACGCATGTTTAAAAATTCCAGTGCCAAATCACCTGGTACATTTTTTCCAGCCCCACCGTGTATGTTCACACCCCTGTTGTGGCGCAACTGGTGTGCTAGCTTTGGTGGTAGCAATGCTAACAGTTGGGCTTGTATCCGGAATGACAGAAGACGGTATTTCGTATGATTATGTAAAGTATATTTCAGAATGTCTAACCTCCACATACGTACTAGACGATCACCGTCATTTTCTTTAGATGCATCCTCTCTTATCCAGTCGTACAGACCATCTCTCAACAAACTACATGAATAATTAAACTTGTGATCTTCTGTTTCTGCTTTATCGGAATCAAGTTTGTTAGTTACTTTCGGTTTTTTGTTAGTTTCTGGTAACTGTAAATGTTGCAAATCTTTATACAAACATATATTCCTGTGTTTTTCCTTGCATTTTCCATTTATGGCAAATGTTTTTTGGCAGCCTGGATAGCCACAAGGTACTCTGCTATTGTCTGCTGTGTCATGACCATTCTGTTCAAGTTCAAATGGTTTGGCTACAATGTATTTTTCCACTATATCTGATGACACCTTTACTAGAAATTCTTTCTTTTCCTCTTTGTTCATGTTGTCAGTTATTTTGTTTAAATCACCAACATCTGTCAGATTCAGTATTTGTAATGCTGCTAGGACAATATAGCCTTTTGTCACAAAACGAACAAAATCTCTGCAGTCATTGACAGCATCCTTTACCTAAATTATAAAGTTTATAATTTTAGAACATTATTTCAAATATAGAATAGTGTCAACTATAATCATTTATTCAGGTTTTCTTTAATGCAACAATAAATTTTAGGCAGATCTATAAATCAACTAGTTTGTTAGTATTCAGAGTAACAGAAACATGAGATTATTATGACAGACAATATAACATAGCTTTACAACTTTATGAATCAAACATATTAATATGTTTCTCATCATTTACAATTACAATTATCTCCTTCAATATATAGCATATGAACAAAAAATTATGGTGAAAAGCAACTTCATTTCATGAATTTAATAGACTGGCTGAAGAAAAGCAATACATGTAGAAATTTTTATCATTTCATCTTAAAAGCTGTGTTTATAATTAAATGTACTTACAACTGATTTAACACCTCGGTGATCAAATTTGTTCCAAAGCTGAAATAGGGTTCCTTTTTCTGCAGATGATGTCCCTTTAAAATGTAGATCATAAATTTCCTGAAAAATAAACAAATAAAGATGTACAAATTATTTTAAAAAACCCATCAAAACCAAGTTATGACCTAAAAATATAACATTAGTGTTCACAAACATTCTTTAAATGTCTGTCAGGAGCCTGTTATTCAGTAGTTGTCGTTGGTTCTTGCTTGTAATTTTTGTCATGCCTAAATTGTTCTGTTATTACTTAGGACCAGGGATGGGGTAATCGTAATCTGTAATCGTAATCGATTGTAATTGATTACATTTTTTAAAGTAATCGACAGTAATCTGTAATCGACAACATTTTCGATTACATGTAATCGTAATTTAATCGATTACAGTAAAAATTATGATGTAATCATCGATTACTTTTCGATTACATTTCGATTACTTTAGTAATATAGTTTGAAATAAAACCTAGTTTAAATGAAAATAGACAAATGCATGTATTCATCAGTTTAAAGTACTGATAAAATAGAATGTATCAATATTACTTGAGAGTTTATCAAATACCTTATTTAGATCTATTGTCTCAAGCTGCATTATGATAAACCAGATCTCCTAGGCTAACAAATTTTACTTTATTACCAGCTTTTGAAATAAATGACTTCCAATGCTTGTCAATAATTTGAGATATTATTTATTAAACTAAAAAATGTTAAAAATAAGAAAATAGAATCAAAATAGGAAAATACATAAATGTACTTGTAGTCCTAAGTTAAGTTCTGTACTATACTAAATAAGAATGCTTTTATATATGTAATAACATTTTTTAAAGCTTAATTTTCAATTATATTTAGAACTTTAGCTTAGAGTAGATAACCTGGTTGATTCCTCATAGTGTTATGACATTAAAATTAGGAAAGAATACAAAACATTTTTACAATGAACCAATGCATTGAAATTTTTGTTCAGTAATAAATACATGTATCCCATTGTGTCACTAAAATGTAAATTGTTTATGATTTTGAAAAGAGAACAAAGAATTCTCAAAAACCTTCTTGTTTTTATAATTACTAATCAGATGATCAAAGACCTCTAATCAATGAGATACAGACTATGTTTTGATTTCAATTATGTTTAATTAAATGAGAGATTTAATACATGTTGTTGCCCTTAGGTTATAAATTGTTCGCCATTGGCAATTTTATAACCTGTAATTAGGGAGATTATCCAAACAAAAGGATAAATTCATTCATGTAACTATAAATTATAAATTTCCATCTTTTAAAATTAGTTAAACTGACTCTTCTTCTTTTTAATATATTTTTTTTCATAAGAAACCTCTCATACTCATTATATTCAAATATACCATCCTGTTCAATAAGAGTAAATATCAAAATTAAGTCAGTATGACAGCAAAAATGTGCAAACTATGGAGAAAATGACCTACAATATAAGGAAGCAATTGATACAATTGTCGATTTCATTTCAAGAATGTTCTCATGTTTATCATCGCTTACTCAAGAGTATTTAAATAGTTTAGATCCTCTCTAAGAGTGTCTATCTAGAAAAGCAATTTGAAAACATTTGAAAACAATGCTTTAAAAGCTGTTTTTGTAAAGTTCCAAATTACCACTCTAAATAAGTTGTGTGTTTAAACTTTCTTCAATATTTTATAGCATGTAATTGATAATAATCGAAAAGTAATGTAATTACTTTTGATAAAGTAATCGATTGCAATCGATTACATACAAAACTAAGAGTAATCGATTATTAATCGATTGCACAAAAATCCTTCATGTAATCGATTATTAATCGATTACATTTGTCAGTAATCGTGCCTATCCCTGCTTAGGATGTTAGTTTTCTAAATTGAATTGTTTCATATATTTAAAGCAAACTCTACGTTATGGATTTTTCTCATTGTTGAAGGCTGTACTTTTGCCTACAGTTGCTAACGCCCACTTCATTTGAACATTTGTGGATATTAGTCTCCGTTGCAATCATACCACATCTCCTTGTTTTTATATTATCATTTTACATACATGAAACATATATTTTTTCATATTCAATTACATAAGAAACATACCTGTAAAGTTATGACATGACCATGCCAGTCTTCACTCTTCCAAATAAATCCTTCCAGACGGTCCTCTTGATTAACTCCATCAGCTCTTGCCTTTTGTGCCGCGTCACCTCTTTCTACACTGAGAGCATCTCCCCCTAACAGAAGTGGCATCATCTTTTGTTGTCCATCTCTAGGCACATACTGTTGCAGATGTTCAATAACTTCAATCATTTCTTCTGTTTTGTTTTCATCTTTTTCCATGATTCCAAGAGGTACCTACAATGAAGATAAAATTTTTTTTATTGGAAGAAAATATCTTCATCAAAAATATTTAAAACAAATTATGTTTTTAAGAAACAACTGTCTAAAGTACATTCATCCATAGGTTACATGGACAGTATATACATGTATATTGTTATCTAAAACTGAGCAGAAGTACTAAAATTTCTAAAAAAAAAGTCTACAAAAATGTATAAAGTAAATATCACACACATATATATATATATCAATAGTTTAATTTTGATGTTTACTTTTATTTCATGACAGATGTACATACATATTTACTATTTTCATTAATTAGCTACATTGTATACTGTGGATACTTACAATAACACTTTTTTTCTTCGACTCCTCTGTATACTGATGGGGAATGTGGTAGGTAACAAATTCTTGACAGTCCTTCAAGGCTGAAATATGGTCGACTAATGCCCTTTGAATAAGTATATTACAGTCTTGGTATAGTGCCTTGTAGTCTTCTGCATTTGGAACAAAAGCTTCATTTGGAACAGACAGTATGTCTGCTTGTGGGTGAACAGAGTCTAAATCCTCTGATGGTGCTCGGTCTTTCACTGCAACAGAATGGACTAAGTTGAAGACTTTGTTTGATGTGTCCATTGTTTTATGTCGTGCTTTTGTATTCATATTGAGGTTGTCCATTATAATTTGAAAAGAAGGTTCAGTTGTTGAGTCAATATCCTTGGAATTTACTGTTGTAAAAGGAGAGTCAGCTGCTGTTAGTTCAGTGATAGGTTCTTCATGCTGGGATGTGTCAGCTGGAAGTGGTGTAAACAAGACTGCATCTGTAATACATGTAATACAATTTATTAATAAAATGTCCATTTTACAAAATGTACAAAATATTTAACATTTTTAACACACATCTTTTTGACCACATTTGCATATACACATGTAGCTGTTTAAAATTAAAAATTAATTCAATATTAGCTTGGTTAACATTTTTTTCTCATGCTGAACTACTTTTCATAATATAAATATGTACCATAAGTATGCTAACAGAATAAATATGTTATTTTATTTGTTAAAGATTTTACCAGAATCAAGATATCCCAATATAATAATATATGATGACAGTAATCTATAATTGCTTTTTAAAATACATAAACTGTAACTACATTTGGTTTTACTTGGATGGACAGTCATCTCATTGGCAATCATAATACATTTTGTACCATGTAATACATATATATTTTTATTATAAACAATATTATTGTGTTTAAATAACTTATTAAAGAAATGAAGCTGGTATATATGTACCTTTAACTGATTCTTTATAACTGGGTGTTGTCACTGGGTAAGGTTCAGCTATGTACATTGGCCATGGTGATTCTTCATTCATAGAGCACTCACTTATTATGTTTGCCTCGTTAAATGTTGAACCCTGATGTAATCCTGAAATGCATGACAGGAATATGAGTTTTTTGCATTCTTTCAGTCACAAATAAAAAGAAAAGAAAGTCAATCCAACATTAACACAGTTACAAATAATTAAATGTGCACAGTTATTACCTGGAAATAGTAAGCATGATAATTGCAGTCTGTGTACTTTAAAACCGACAACTTTCTAAACGAAAAACTTGCATTCAATTCAAACGTTCAACTGGATATACATTACATACATGTTAACCAAAACTCTTGGTTGAAATTACGAAAAAAAAATAAAAAATTATTATTAATAAATCAATATGGAAATAAAGGTTAAAAACTTTCAACATTCTTCTTTAAAAAGTACTGTATATAATTGCTCAAGAATTATAGTGAAATCAGTATCCCTACAAATGTGCTGATAATCATGGGCAAATTGTAATACCTGGTTCGTCATGCACTGGCTTTGCTGGTGTCTGTACAGAAGACAATGTTATTGCTGGGGATTCCATTGATACATGTACTGTAGAATCATCTTCCAAAAAAGTGGACAAGGCATAATTATGATCATCTGAAATGATGTATAATAATAATAAAAATAGTTAATTGCTCATATGGAATACATGTGCATGTAGAAATGTGGTTGACAAATGAGCATATTATTATTTTCCATGTACATGTATACCTGAACATAAATTTATACAAACATAAAATATTTTCATTAAAAAAATGTTAATAACCAAGAGAAATGGTCTTGTATTAATGTACTTTAAAACATACAGTAACATCAAAATGAATCTATTTCCAGGTTGAAGCATCCCCAATCACACCCATGGACTCATTTTTCAATCATAAATCAATTATGTAGGCATCAAATTATAATCAGATTTACATGTGATTAAATGGATACTTTTAAATAAAGATGAAGATTGTCTCACTGGTAATAATATCACAACATCTTATTTTTATATGTGCAATTTGTCCAATGATTGGTGTTTAGCCTGATCAACATACATAATGAAAAATATAACATACCTAATGCCGTCATATCTTTGTCTTTATCCTTTGCAGCAATAGCTAACTTTTGAGACCACATTTTTACTGGCAGGTCAAAGTCCTCACATATAACATCAACATGTCTTACTGTAGATTTGTATGAACTGCTCAAACCAGCTCTGTTGAAGGAAGTGTACACCTTAATAATAGAAAAGTATCTGTGAAATACATGTGCAATGTGCATACACTAAAATACAGTGGCGGATCCAGAACTTTTGATAAGGGGGGGCCGCTCCAGTCATGCTTCAGTGATTCCCTATATAATCAACTAAATTTTTTCCCACAAAAGGGGAGGGGGGGGGGGGGAGCCTCTGGATCTGCCTATGATACATATACATTTTGTAAGATGTAAATGTACCAAAAAGTAATAGGTTAATGTTTACTATATTGAAAAAAAATATAATAAAATTGTAAATAAATACATGTACAAAATGTATATACAGATATAGTAGAACCCTAAATCAATGTAAATATATAATATATTCGTTTCTGTCTATTCAATTTTTTTCTTCCTATATTTGCTAATTTTTTCATGGACATGTATTTATCTAAATGCGATGTTATTCAAGGCTCAATGTTATAGGCTGTTATGTAGCCTTCAATAATAAATAACTGCTTACATGTACATGTACATTGTACATCAACAGCATTTGGTCTGAGATAACAGTTGTCTCATTCAGATTTATACCACATATATATATATATATATACATGTATTATATATAAATATGTACATGTACTGTGAAACATTTAAGATTTGTGCATGTCCTTAGATTAATCAATTTTGTACATACCTTTGTTCGAACATGACCTCTGAACATCAAAATGCTATTTATCACTTGTAATGCTCCCATATGCATGTTTCGGTTAAATAACAGTATTGCCACACTTGAAACAACACGAGGTAGCTGCTTCAATTTACTAGGACCAGCAACTGTATGAAGGAAATCCATTGTAAGAGGACATACACTTTCCAGCTGTTTGCAGGCAGTCTTCCATGAAAATTGTTTTATGTTTTTTGTCCGTAAGACACAATCTTTGTATTTGCATATTTGTTGAATCTCTTGACTTATCTTCTTTTTAATGACTTGGTTGAGGTCTTTCTTCAGTTCTTCAATTTGAAGAAGATGATTCAGCGCTGTTTTGTACTGTTTTAATACTAGTGCTCGGCATGCTAGTTTGCTGTGGCCTTTAAGTTCAGTATTCCTTGTACTGCCTCTAAATCCAAGTTGCACCTGGAATGAAAATAAAAGTATTGGTCTAAAATCCAAACATTAGGTTAACATTAAGGAAATACAGATGATTCTACTTAGTAATACAAATATTATCATACATAATTCAAAGTGAACAAACAATGATACTATGATAATATGCTATTTTAATATATAGTATTCATGAAAATGTATTTAGATATTAGAAGTACATGTAAATGTACATGGATGTTGATCTTTATACCAAAAATGTTGTTAATAATTATAATGACAATGTATTTTTCATGTGTACATTGTACATGTACATTTTGATTTATTAAAGATACAAGTAAAGTCTTGCACTCTTCATCAAGTTAAAAAAATAGAGAAATATGTATATACATGCACAGGTGCTTACAAATCCTTCTTTTTATATTTTTATAATTGAGTATGATGAATTCATGCATGCAGACCTAATTTTGTATAGTCATGATAGTGAAGTTGCAGTATTGAATAAGACTGAGTCTAATTATTTGGAAGGCTCACAAGTACAAGCCAAATAAAACAATAAATGTACACAAGTTACACTTTTCAGAGTTTTTTGTCTCCTCTACAATTACAGATCATAATTATAAGCATACCTTAACTCTTGGCCCAGGGCTTGCAGATATTTTTTTCATGGTTGAATTTGGGGTCTTCCTTGGTGAATTTGAGAAATTCAATCTCCTTCTGTTTGCTTTTGGTGTTGATGGGGTAACTAACTTCTTTCCTTTTGGTGTACACCCAGATTTCATTGGAGTAAGGCAACTTCTTGGTCTCTTTTTAATTGATGAGTTCAATATTTCCACAGACTTAGCATGGTGAACTGACAGTGATGTACATTCTGTTTTGAAGTTCACAAAATTCAGGGAAGCAGCATTCTTCAAATTTTCTGTGAGATTGTTGTAACGTTTCTGACTCCTACATATCCCCTGTAATGTAGCAAAACACTTGCTGCACACATAACAACTTTCTGCACTGTCAACATAACTACGAAGTGTTTTTTCTGCAATCCCGTATGTAAACGACAGAGTTTTAACAATATCAACATCTCCCTGAAGTTTATCAACATTTCTCCTCACGTCTTTAGATGAACTGAACACGTGTGAACAGTGAAGACAGGTGTTTTGGTCCATCGCTCATGTTTACAAACATTTACTTCAACTCCTCCTACTTTTTGCGCCAATTTCTATAGACGATAAACCACAATGCAGTTCGTTAATTTGAACTTCCGGTTGACGCGTTCTGATTGGGTATGCATTCAGGCGTTAATGTAGTGATCGTTAGGGAGCGTAATATAACGACTGGATTATTCGGGTTACTTTGATAAGTGTTTGGTATGACTATAAATTTTCACTTCTTCGTACTATGAACAACAAAATTATTTATTTTGTAAAACATATTTCCGTTCTCCATTTAAACTGTATACCTTACAACAAAATTGGTTTCATTTACCTGTGTACATTATTGTATTTGGCGGCTTTTTGTTCAAGGTTATTGTTGTTTTTTTTAAATTGTTTAACATTTCACAGCGGTATACTACAGTTGCCTTTAGTTATTCACCCCTTATTTTATTTTATTGATTTTGTATTTACATTGTATTATAGATCGAATTTATTCGTTCAGTGTATGTTCACTTGTGTTAAAATGTCTTTTGATTGAGTTAAGCCATTTCAATTGATATTGTATAGTGTGTCTTTCTATGTTGTGATGTTACACTATTGTTTCAGATAAGGGTGAAGATTGGTACCTATTTAAACGTTTAAACCCGCTGCACTTGTTTGTACCTGTCCTAAGTCATGAATCTGATGTTCAGGAGTTGTCGTTTGTTGATGTGGTTCATATGTGTTTCTCGTTTCTCGTTTTTTATATAGATTAGACTGTTGGTGTTCCCGTTTGATATTACACTAGTCTTTTTTGGGACCCTTTATAGCTTGCTGTTTGGTGTGAACCAAGGCTCCGTGTTGAAGACCGTACTTTGACCTATAATGGTTTACCTGTACAAATTGTAACTTGGATGGAGAATTGTCTCAATGGCACTCATACCACATATTCTAATATCTATATTTGCTCTTTGTTGAAGGCCATACGGTGACATTTAATTTCTTACATCCAAGATTTGTGTATGGATAACCAAAGATCTTTTGTATAAGCTTATAAGTTAGCAACAACATATTAACCTGAAAAGGCACTTAAATGTAAGTATATAACATTTTGCATGAGGCATGTTTGGTTACCATTTATTGCCTCTATTTTGGAAAAGTTGTGAATAAATTACAAAGACAAAAATCTGTATTGAACATAAAATTCTTAAAAAAAACACACTTATATATAAATAAAGAAAACGACTGACGGAATTCCTGACTTAATACTGGCACATTTAGATAGGAAGAATGAACAGAAGCTTACATTGCCCTTTACCTTTAAGTTCCGCTATATAGATAATGTACTCACACTGAATAATTCAAAGTGAATATGTTGAACGCATTTACCCCATTGAACAGGAAATAAAGGATACAACATATACATTTAAGTATGCCTCATATCTCGACTTACATCATAAAATTGACAATGAGGATCGGTTGATAAACAAACCTAAGACAAAAGAGTTCAGCTTCCCAATTTTGAACTTTCCATTTCTATGTAGCAACATTCCAGCACCGCCTACATATTATATCTTACAGTTGAAACGATGTTCCAGGGTTTGCGTTTCCTATCACGGTTTCCCTGATAGATGGTTGTGCTCACAAGGAAGAAAGAAACCAAGTGGTGAAGTCGATGTCATCACTTTGAAAAGTTTACAAACGCCATCACAAGTTGATTGACCGTACGGAATATCTGTTTCACAGATGACTACGGAAATATTCCCCTTTTTCCCGAATGTGACCTACCAAACTAGACTGATCACCGGTGTTGTACTTATTCGAGCAACACGACGGGTGCCACATGTGGAGCAAGATCTGCATACCTTTCAGGATCACCTGAGATCCCCAGTATTTGGCTTGGTTCGCGTTGAGCAGTCTTCAGTTTTTTTCTGATTTGTATTTTGTGTGCTGTTGTTTGTCCATTGGTCTTTTTTTCTTTTTTGCCATCGCGCTATCAGATTATTTATGACTTATGAGTTTAAATGTCCCTTTGGTATCTTTCGCCTAACTTTTAAAGAAAAATGTTTTTCGACAAATTTATCTGGTGTAATACAATTTGGACCGTTTAATGTTATTTTAGCTTTAAAATTATTCTTATTCGGCATATTTCAAAAGGATATAAAACATATGTGTCTCTTGATCTCCGCAGTAGTAAGCACAGCCAAAGTTGCAGTTCTAACAAGAATCGTCTTTGAAACTTTTCCATCCATATTTTGTTGTTTTCAACTACTGCAACGTTACCAACAGTTATTTCATGTTTTCTTAAATCAGATGAGAGAATTATCAATATTTGTTAATGACTAAAAAGAGAGCCAACGTTTCTGACAAATACTATTTTATTGTACAGTTATTCTTAAAAGGTTGTGTTGATGAAACTTGTAATGCACTCAATCATATATATCACTGTAAGATGTAACAATATTTAGTTTTTACTTGGGGTTTGACAATTTGGATGATTATTTGTCACATAACCCATATCCTTTTTATTTCACATTGACAAAGATAGTGTTATTTCGAACAACGTTATGAAATATACTCTGAAGTATAGCCACCAGTATCAAAGTGAGGTATGATTTCATCATATCAGCAAAACTGAAGTTTGCTTTCAGAAACTAAGTGCTTTCCTTAAAATTATATTTATAGTTTGTGTTTTTGCTATCGATTATAATGTAATTACATAAAAAAAGTCATCATAGATAATTTTGTTCCCTTGTGCTGCCTTTTTTTGAGTAATGTTTTCGTTACGTTTTTTTTTATCCACTAATTAGCACTAAAATAGAGCGTTTAGAGATATTATAATGTTTGTTAAACTTGTCACATGTTCATGTGTTTGCGGTAATTATTTGTCACTTCTTAATGTTTGTTTTTCTGTTTGGAGAATATAATGTTTTCACCTAGTTGGATGTGTTGTTGGGTTGCTGTCTCATGACGGTACACTCCACATTGTCTTTTATCATATCTTTGACCTTTATTTTGCAATTGAGATATTCAGGTATTTAATGTGAAGCATTCATTATATATTCAGGATTTATACAGTGAAACAAATTCTTTTTGGGATAGTTTTATTCATTAAAAGTTACATGGTTAGCTGAATTCATTACAAGGCGGGAAGACAGCATAAAGCCAGCTCTTGTTATCTATAAATAGTATTATGTTTTTCCTTCAACAATGTCAACAATACAAATTTTAACCTTGATTCAATATATAAAGAAAAAAAAACTGAAGAAACATTATAAATGAGATGTGTAACAATTATTGTAATAGATGTTTTTTTTTTTATATTTTTGAATGAGTGCTAAATAGGATATTACAGAGATGTTAATGTGTTATCAGCACATATTCATCATAAAAATATCAGTGACAAACATCACGTGATTTCACTAGCAATGTCTTATTCATTAATCAGAGGAATTAATCAATCAATTCTTTTGCATATATGGTAAAACATGTGCATGCAAAAATACTTGTTTTCAATGTTTTGTAAACTTGTTATTTGAAAACTCATTGAGATTCTACAAGTTTCAACTTTTTGTCTGATATCTAACACTTAGGTATTTTGATTATACGTTTAATTTAAGTAAATATGATATGAAATTATACATTATAAAACTGAAAAACAAGGTATTCAAACATGTACAAAAGTTCGGTCAAGTATTTATACATTATAAGGGTTTCTACACATTGAATATCGTAAAATGTCAGCCGCGAGTCACAATGTGAACCCTTTTTTCAATTAGAAAACCAGATAATCTTTTTATCGTTCTATTATGCGTCTTTTCCCACTCCCTGAGAAAATGTTACGCTTGACGAAAGTAAGCACGATAACGTCTCCTCAAACATTGTGACGTCACCCCCAGTTTTTGGTGGGGTTTGTCTTGCTCAGTCTTTAGTTTTTCTATGTTGTGTTTTGTTTATTGTTGTTTGTCTGTTGGTTTTTTCTTTTTAAGCCATGGCGTTGTCAGTTTATTTTCGACTTATGAGTTTGTCCCTTTGGTATCTTTCGCCTGTCTTTGATAACTTCTCCTCAGATATGGTGACGTCGCCGATTATCTGATGATGTCTGCTCATGTCTCAAAACCGTGATACGAAAATTACGGAGAAACTCAGCAGGGTGATATAGGTGAAGGGAAGAACGATAAATAGAGTTATTGAACAAAAGGAAGATATGAAAATTAAATTCCCTGAAAACGACTCCAACTGGTTGTCTGCTAATGTTTTATCATATATTTTACAATGAAACTATAAACCTACAATATATTTCAAATATTCTGTGTAAAGATAAGTTAAAAAAACCATATTCTCAGTTTTGCCCATAACTACAATTTCTAGAAGATGTAAACCCATATCCGGGTTCTACCCCCAGGGTGATACTCAATTAACTCTGTATAAGAATATGTTAGATTGTTACTTGTCTTGTCTTATTTAGTTTCTAACAACCACGTTGTGAAAACCACGAGGAAACGGTCATACTTCCTTTCGACTTATGACGTCCACCAATCTGTAAGTCATCGCTACTTTTTTGTCACAAAATATGCCACTTTGTAATTATAGTATTCTCGTAAAGATATCTAATGTAACGGAGCATAAATAAATATATGTGATGATGTCCACATTAAGAATTTTGGCTTCCCCAAAGGTTGAGCAAAAAAGAAGAAAATGAAAAGGCACAGGCTAATGTTTTGTTTTTGACATTATATAGTTGTTTTGTGATCAATATCGATATGAGCAGACAATTAATGGCAACTGATTTCATAGTTGTCCTGTTACATCACTGTTCAATAATGGGGGGATTATTGAGCACTTACAAACTCGTTAACCCTGTGACAATTTTTTTTACCCATTAAAGGTCTCGAGCTTGAGGTGTATTGATCGTCGTTGGTTACCATAAGTCATAATGGACTTTCTTTCAATGCTAAAAACTTAAATCAGACTGTTCGTTTTCTCTTGTCTTGCTATAGCTTACTATGCGATCTGGATTTTGCACATGGTTTAACCCGTACCGTGACCTGTAGTTTTAGATAACATTTCTGATATTAATAGATAATAGTCTCAATGGAATTCACCCGAAATGTTTTTGGCATTATATATCCTTCTATGTCGGGGCTTCGGTGTTCGGTGGCCGAGTAGTTTAAGTAGTCCAGCTACTTTATCACTAGCCTTTTAACAC